GGTAGGCCACCAAAGTGCAGAAGAAAGGCAGAGAATGAGCCTAGAAAAAAGTATGGAAAGTTATCCAAAAGAGGAGTAAAAATGACATGTTCACTGTGTCATCAAGTAGGCCACAACAAAAAATCTTGTCCAATATTGGTAAGTTATTATTCTCTTCTAATACATTTACAATAAGTTTCAATTATTTACAATAATCAATTATTATTACTGTATTAATAGGCTGAAATGGGACAAACTGGAGGCTACCCAAATAGAAAACCAAGCTCAAGCCAACCATCACTGTCTAGCCAACCATAAAGCTCAAGCCAGCCACCACTTTTTAGCCAACCATCAAGCTCAAGTCAGCCACCACTTTTTAGTAGACCATCAAGCTCAAGTCAGTCACCAATATTCAATCATCAAGGCAGTTCTATGTGTTTTGATTCTCCAGCTGTTAGAACAGAGCAACAACCTGCTAAAAGCAGAGGCACATGCAGAGGTAGAGGCACTGGGAGAGGTACTGACAGAGGAACTGGTAGAGGCACTGGGAGAGGTACTGGCACTGCCAGTGAAATTGGAAGAGGCAGTGTTTTCAACATTGGAGGTGTATCAAGTCAGCAACCTGATCAACCAAGGGCTGTGGAAGCTTCAATATCAACAGGAAGACAAAAAAGGACCAAGACTATAGGATTTGGCATCTATACAAATGCAAGTGGTAGTCAAACCTTTAATGTAAGTGTATACATAATTTTGTTCATTTCTTACTCTACTATATAAAGTCTCATTTGAAGATATTTCCATGCAGCCTGGTACTTCAGGAGAAAAAGTTATCAATTCGAGAGTTTATAAGGATGCATCTCCAACAAATATTGATATTGGTTATAAGCCTCGAGGACTCAAGTGGAATGGTGGAGATGCTGTCACTGGTTCACAGTTGCAATATATCACTCAGTCAAGGAAAAACAAGCGTGGAACATCTAGTGCACCAAAGAATGCCTAATTTATGTATTTATGTAGACTAGTCACTTTTTGGTTGTGTAATTAGCAGCAGAAATTTGTATTGACTGCTTTAAAACTTGGAGCTCACTAGAGCAAATTAATGGCATGAATGATCAATTTAACTGCTTTTGAGACACAAATTATCTTCATTCCTTCAATTAGATCATTACAATAAAAACACAAGGCATTTACAGTAGAAAAAATGATCTAAATTGTCCATAAAGAACACTAGAATCTACCATACATACTTTTATGAAGGAATCTAATAGAAGACAAATGAATCAACTAAGATTATTTTTTACACAAATCCAAGTAGCCAATATCACCCCTACGATGATGCATATTATCCATACTTTTCTTGATCGATTCCTCTCCAATTCATATGTTTTGACTCTTTTCAACAAACCCCATATCACCCTCCTAGCTTGAGCAGGCATTTCATCATCATACCATCAAAAATATCCACATCCACCTCGTGCCTACAAAATTAAAGAAAAAAATTGAATTATAAATAAGGTGATTCTTTACTATATTGGACAAAAAAATGAATTTGATTTACCTTTGAAGTTTTGCAACAAAGGAACCTACGTCCAGGATTGGATTGCGTCCATGAGGTCTTCATTTCCACAACAATCCCACATTGACATAGTACTTTCGCAGTTGAAGAAGAAGAAATCGATGAAGAAGATAAATTCGACATTGGAACTTAATGATTAAGAAGAAATCAATGAAAAAGAGATATAAGAGGAGAAATAATGATGAAGAGAAACAAAAGAGGAGAAATAAGGGATGAAGAGAAACAAAAGAGGAGAAATAATGGAAGAATGAGAGAAATTAGGGTTAAAAGGGGGAAGAAGATTGTTGGTGGGTGGTTGAAGATCCACATCAGCACTTTTAAAGCGTCTGCACGCGCTTACAGGACGTGAGATCACGTTTGGCTCCACATCAGCCAAAAATATTTAAAAGGATCAAATTATTGGGGTTAAAGGATTTAATAGGAATCTTGGTTAGTTGAGGTACCTGGGAGAAAAGCGCGAACAACTTTAGGGACCTGCGTATGTATTTGGCCTAAATTGTAAAATAGTGAAATATATATATTGCTTGGACACTTTATGAACTCCAAAATTTTTGGAGTATCTAAGACATAGTTATTGATATTTTTGAAGAGTTTCAGTTTGTCTAGACATGTGTGGCCCAAAGATAGCTTCTACTTGGACATATGTCCTTTAGAAAGTATATGGCTGCACATACAGAATAAGACTATAAGAAATTGTCTGAACATGTCTTTCAAAATAGGAAAAGTGAATCTTTTGAAGCAACTCTAGAAAAAGTAATATCTTACACATTCATACCTATTTTTTGATGACTACCTAGATTCTATTAAAAAGACTCACGATTTTTGTCTATGACTTGGAGAAGAGTAGCTTTGACTAGTAATCTTTAGGTTACACAGTTTCACCTTGCACGTTGTTAGGATTGAAAATAAGCAGGTGTGAACGCGGAAGCTAGCAATGCAAACCTCGAAAGACCACGAGTAAGAATACAACGACAAATATACCAAAAGACTCAAACATTTAACGTGGTTCAGTCAATCAACCTACATCCACAAAGGAGATGAACAATCCACTTTAAATATGAGAGTACAAAATACAGAGGAAAACAACCTCAACCAATTCACTCAGAATACATGGGAGGTTCACACAAGTGATAATGTATCAAGCTTGTGACCCATAAATTCTCCCCCTAACCAAAACTCTCAAAGCCGTTAAGACTACATTGTGAATGCTGATTAAGTTAGAAGGAACATGTTTCTATTTATAGAGTCCTAAACCTTTTCCTATCAGAAAAATGATTTGTCAATCCAAAACCTTTTCCTAAAAGGAAAACCTATTTATGGTAAGAAATTTAGGGCAAATAAAACCCAACAAATCTCCCCCTTGGCCTGAATTTCTGACAAAATAAATTTGTCCACCTTCTTCTCTTAATCTTCAATAGCTTGCTTCTCCTCTCCATAACCTCCTTTGAAAAATTTATGTCTCAACACAGAGAACCTCTCTGGAATAATTTCACCAACAAAATCTTCATTACTGTCAAAAAGTTGCGACTAGAACTACACCCATCAAGATGAACACCTCCTTTTAACCTGGTTCAATCATCATTTTATCGAACCACTAAACCTGACTCCATCATTGAATCTGGCTCTGATACCACTTGTTAGGACAAAAAATAAGCAGGTGTAAATGCGAAAGCTAGCAAAGCAAACCTCGAAAGATCACGAGTAACAAGACAACGAGAAATATACCAAAAGACACAAAAATTTAACGTGGTTCAGTCAATCGACCTACGTCCACAAAGGAGATGAGAAATTCACTATAAATATGAGAATACAAAATACAGAGAGAAACAACCTCAACCAATTCACTCGGAATACATAAGAGCTTCACACAAGTGATAACGTATCAAACTTGTGACCCATAAATTCTCCCCCTAGCCAAAACTCTCAAAGCTCTTAAGACTACATTGTGAATGCTGATTAAGTTAGAAGGAACATTCCTCTATTTATAGAGTCCTAAACCTTTTCCTACAAGAAAAAGGATTAGTCAATCCAAAATCTTTTCTTAAAATGAAAACCTATTTATGGTAAGAAATTTAGGGCAAACAGAACTCAACAAATCTCCCCCTTGACCTGAATTTCTGACAAAATAAATTTGTCCACTTTCTTTACTTAATCTTCAACAGCTTCTCCTCTCCATAATCTCCTTTGCAAAATTTATGTCTTAGCACAGAGAACCTCTCTGAAACAATTTCTCCAACAAAATCTTCATTACTGTCAAAAAGGTTGAGACTAGAACTACACCCGTCTATATGAACACCTCCTTCTAACTTGGTTCAATCATCGATTATCGAAGCACTAAACCTGACTCCCTCATTGAATCTGGCTCTGATACCACTTGTTAGGATAAAAAATAAGCAGGTGTGAACACGAAAGCTAGCAATGCAATCCTCGAAAGACCACGAGTAAGAAGACAACGAGAAATATACCAAAAAACTCAAAGATTTGACGTGGTTCAGTCAATCAACCTACGTCCACAAAGGAGATGAGAAATTAACTATAAATATGAGAGTACAAAATACAGAGAGAAACAACCTCAACCAATTCACTCGGAATATATAAGAGGTTCACACAAGTGATAACGTATCAAGTTTGCGACCCATAAATTCTCCCCCTAACCAAAACTCTCAAAGCCCTTAAGACTACATTGGGAATGATGATTAAGTTAGAAGGAACATGTCTCTATTTATAATCCTAAACCTTTTCCTACCAGAAAAAGGATTAGTCAATACAAAACTTTTTCTAAAAGGAAAACCTATTTATGGTAAGAAATTTAGGGTAAATAAAATCCAACACACATCTCATATTAAATTTGGACAAAAGCTTTCTATGTTTTGCTTCATTTTTTTTTCTTTTCCTCCTTTGTGATTGTCATATTGTGTTATTCCAACTAACATTTGATGATATTACTTCAATATGGACAAATATAGCAGGAGGTGTGAACAAATGCAGAGTTTACGGGCTTGAAGCACAACCTTCTTAATGTCATCCATCACTATTCTTGTTTGATGCTTCTACTTCTCAAAACTTCAGAAGAAATGGAAGCAATGTGAAGAGAGATTTCTAAGCTAACAGAACGACTTCAAATATCAGAAGCTAATTATGCTAAAGTACATAAGTTCATGGAGAATCATATGGCTGAATCTGATGATGGCGAAGAAGAGAGCTACTCTGATGAAGAGTAGATTATATTCAAGTTGTTTAGAAATTCGCTACGACATTTAGACTTGTTATAAACTATTTACTTTGCTTTTAAATAACAACTGAATACTTATTAGACTTGATTTATATGATGCTTCAACTTTTAGAGTACTCCACTTTGAATTTGTGAATCAAGTGGAATTTGAATGTTTATTAATAATGTTAGATATTTGGTTTTATTAAATCATTATGGGCAGTAGTATAATTTAGCAGGTGGTGTACCAAAATGAACAATATTTTTCATGTGTTAAAAATATAGCTTTCTTATCGAATAATGTTTAGAAAATTAACGAATGATTAAGAAATGCCGACCAAAGTGATCGGAAAATATATAATTAATTATTATATTATTTAACTATTACGATTCGGCATTATTAAATTAATAAATTATTATTTAGAAAATATTTCGACTACAGTAGTCGGTAGTATTTAAATTAATAAAATATTATTTTACTAGCTTTCCGACTACAGTAGTCGGCAATTCATGTACTTTAATAATCGGGTTTTAATTTATATACTGCGACTACTATAGTCCGCAAATTCCGACTACTGTAGTCGACTAATATTTTCCGAAGCTCAGTCTGACGACCACTTACAAGTAGTCGGAAAGTCATCGGAAAACTCCAATTTCCGACTACATTCTGACCAATTTAGCAGTCGACAAACAGCGAAATTCTAGTAGTGAATAGTGTGCAACATATGGAAACTATGAATATCATACACCTTCTAAATACCATTGCTAAAGATTTCACTCTATAATTTGATGAGTCACTACGAAAAGCAAATTCGAAAAAGGTAAATAGAGAATTGCTATTTCGATTGTTCAGTTGTTCCGCATTCAAAGAGGTGATACCATAGAAGAACTAATTGTTTCAGGTAATTATAGATGGTTCTATAAAATTTAGAGTCAAAATGTTTAGAACGAACATATGTGCAAAATATTTATAGGTTAATATACAATATAAAAATATCCAAATTCTTATTTCGTCCAAATGCTATAAGAATGGTGTAGATCGTATATAAGTTATGAATATAATTCTCGGGTAATTATAGATGGTCATACAAATTCGTTAGTCAAAAAATTTCGGATAATCAAATTTCATAGGGTAATTAATGCACATAAAAAAAAATTAGAATTCGTAAAAATAAAAGGCATGGATTCTATAAAAGTTATGAATACCATTCATTAGGTGATTACACAATCCTACAAAATATTTTATTAAAAATAAATAATAAGATGTAATAATTTTAATTTTTTTATATTATTAATGTTTGATATTATGTAATTTTGTATGTAAGATAATTTAATGTTTTAGTTTTAATGGTTAATAAATTTTAAATATTATTTTATAAATTTCATAATATTAAATTGACACGTAAAGCGCAAATAATTTTACTTGCATCCTTTTTGATATTCTTAAACTGTTAAGGAGGTTCTACTAAAAATTGTTACTCCAGTGGTTATTGCATTCTTTTTTATATTCTTGTTAGATTCAATTTGGATAATGAAACAACAGAAGAAAGAAAAGTTCAAAGATGTTGAACAGGTATTAGATATCAAGACTCATCATTTAGTTTTTTTTCGTGAGATTCGATGAGCGACAAATAATTTTGATGAATTCAATTTAATTGGTGACGAAAGCTCTGACTCTGTGTACAAAGGCACATTGTTTGGTGGAACTGCAGTGGCCATTAAGGTTCTAGATTTTGAAATTGAGTAAGTATCCAAATTTTTTTTACCGATTTAAATATGCTTACTTGAGTCTAATGTTTTTAATTACCTTTCTATCTTTAATAAAGACATATATAAATATGACTATTAACTTGACGTCAGTCGACAGCTTTGACCTTTAGCTTTAAATAAGTTGAAGTAGAAACTTAAAACTTATATAAAATTGAATAAATCCTTACATGTAATATTATAGTTTAATTGGTCCAAAGATGATAAATGCATGTGGGGTTGTGATGATAACTTAGGTTAAGCAACATGCATTTTTTCCAAACTTGTCTTACACTGCATGACCCCTTAGGTTGACTTGGGTTTGTACTATATATATAATGCAACCCTTTTTTTAATATATAATTTTTTTTACCGATTTAATTATGCTCAATTTTCTTTTAAAAAATGAGCTTAGAATGCAGAAATATAGCATTAATGGAGTGACAACTTAAAATATGAAACGGTATCAAAAGTAAATACATTGAATTTGCCTGTCTCAAAATAAGACAAAAGGATAAATAAATAAATAAATGAGGATAAACATTTATATTTATTTTATTGATATTTATATCATTATTTCTTCCGTGAATTAAAGAAGTTATTAATAATTTAATTATATGTTACTTTCTTCATTTCAAATTATTTATCGTGTCTCAATTTTGTTACACCCTTTTAGAACAAATTGATAAAAAAAGGTAGTATTATATATTATATATTATATATTACATACCCCATACAAAAAAAAACATAAATAAGTAATTGATAAAATCTTAAAAACAAATTAGACAAGTTTTTCTATCAATTAATATAGTATAATAATTTAATTGCTTAAAAGATCAAGTAAATTATAATTAATTGTTTTTACAAATTACATCACACAAGTATATAAGTAAAGAATAATAATCTTATATTTCAATGTATGACCCTTTATTTTACATTCAGAGAAAGAAATACGAACTAAATAAAGCATATCCCTCCTAAAGATCATTCACCTTTATTCTTCTAAAAAATAATTTTAAAAAAAATGCTTTGTTTAAGTATACATATATAGAGTCCGAAACTCAAAGGGTAAAAAATATTAACAAAAATTCCAAAACGGTATAT